CTATTGCGATCCATGCCCCAGCTGATCGTGACTGGTTGTCAGACAATCCAGAGCCCTCTCGAAGCTACAACACAATCCATCTCACCCCTCGTTTCTTCACGCACTTCTTCAATTGGTGGGGCTTGTTTGGACAGCCGTTGTCATTGCCAATTCGTCAAGGCAGTCTCTTCCCTGGCCGTGAGAAGAACAGCAAGAAATTTGGCCGACATCTTGCAACTGTTAAGTACAACATCTTGCTTGCGCCACTTTTCCTTAGTCACATCTACAAGCACAAGGATGTCGAAGATCATTCTGAGAATGCAGTCTCTGCAACCGGCTTGAAGGTGCGATTTGACAGCTTTTCACTTGACCTTCATCAACGCCGAGAAGAATTCAATACCCTTGGTAAAGGCAAACATGGTGACGACACCAGTAAAACATCAGGTATCAAGATTCATGCTGCACAGCTTGACCTCGTTAGCGCCGATGTCCGAGCAGTGTCAGCAAGCTTGAAGGGAACAACCACGGAGGCTATTAAGAAAGGATCTATCGCAACATTGATGAGCGAATCTGACGAGAAGCCTGACTTGTCTCGGTTTACTATTCCGGACAATGACTTCAGTTGGATTGATATGGATGATTTTGTCGAGCTTGACTGGATAACACCCACGGAGCCTCACCCTGACACCAAGATCTTACCCCTAGCATACGCCCCTCGCCTGACATATTTCCGACAAACAGACATTGGTGGTGTTATCGCTGGAGACCCAACACGAACTAGTCCTTTCGGAAGCGAACCCACGCATTTCTGTGTGATGAGACATGATGACGATCCCCGTCGAATCCAGGGCCAGCTTATTAAGGATCGCCTTGACCAGCTGGCCAAGCAAATGGAATCTCATGATCGTGAGATGGGCGAAGCGGAGTTGAGGGTCATCAAATGTGATGCAAAGGACCGAGTTGCTGTGGAAGAATTCAAGGCCTTCCAAAAACATACCGACGTGCTGCAAGAGAAGAAGGAATTCCTTGAATCAATGCTAAACCAGGCCAGGATTCGTGCTCCGTCAAGCACCAACAGGAGCAGCAATGATGGCCGCAAGCAATCAGGCGAGTCTTCCATCCCGTTTCAGGATGAGACCATGGAAATCCCAGCTACCAGCGAGTTCGAAAGCGAGTTCAACAATCGCTTTGTTATCCATAATCTACAACTCAAGTGGAATAACACCCTGCGAAATATCGTGCTTCGATACCTTCACCAAAGCAGCCAAAGACGTGGTTTCACCTACTACCTTTCGCGGCCTGCTATCAAGTTTATCCTTGATATTGTCGAAGAGCAAAACAAAGCCAAGTCAAACAATAAGCCAGGCAAGGCCAAATCAACACACAGTCGACAGGGTGGCAGAAGGAGTTCTCGCGCATCTAGCGTTCATGATGACGAAACACCTCTGGATATCGAAGAGCGTATCAAACGTATTCTCAATGACGGTCGCAAGTTTACGTCTGCTACATGGGGCACCAACGCCGAGGGTGTTGTTGAGGGATCGATCGAGGATCTGGTGACTGGAATTGCCGAAGAATTTACTGCCCAAAGTAGCTACCATATTCGAATCATTGCTCCGCAGATTCAACTACAGAGCGACAAGAACAAAAAGAATGTGGTGCTGGCAACTGCTAAGGGTATGGAGCTGAAGGTCATGGAAGTCATGGAGAAGGAGAGAATCTCTGACAATGTCAGCGGTCTCGTTCAGCGCCGATTCTTGGTCAATATGGATAGCGTCCAATTCTTTGTCACACATCGCAAGTGGTTCCAAACCAGCCTTGTGTCGATGTATGTTGGAAGCAAATATGGTGCACCAAGCGGCTCTGCTTGGCCTCCATGGGTTCCTATCGAGGTTGTTTTTGACTTCCAGGCGGATCCTTTCGGTTTCAAGCGCGTTGTCCAGAAAACTTCGGCCATGGTTCGGTATGATAAGTTCAATGACTTGCGCCTGAAGTACAACGATGAGGTGAACACGGACGGAAATGAAAACGCTTCTCAAGTCAATATGGAGAACCGCGTGGACAATCTTTGGGTCGAGTTCCCAACCGCAAGAGCTCTCTGCAACTCATCGCAGTACTATGCACTCTATGTCATCGTCCTTGATCTCCTTATGTACAACGAACCCACGGAAAAGACGCGCAGTGAGCGCTTGGAAAAGATCATCCTCGCCTCGGACTTCAGCGACTTGAGTGGTGCTCCAGCTATGGTTCAGAAGCTGCAGCAACGCATCAGGCAGATGGAAGAGATCAAGGACCATTTCCAGATCTATGCAAAACATCTCGACAAGAAGGGTTGGCAAGACAGAATGCACCTCGAGAAGGATCTGGCAGCCTGTGAGGACGAATTGTTCTTCATGATGAAGGCCATTACCTCTTCACAGAGAAAGTATGATGTCAATTCAGATGACAGCACTGGTCTGCTCAAGTGGAACATTACAATTCGAGACATTGTCTGGCATCTCATGCAAGATTCGAATGAGCCCTTGGTGGAGCTGCAGCTCAAGGATCTCGAGTATGACCGCACAGACAACTCCGATGGTTCTCATGTGAACCTCATTCGTGTTGGTAAGGTCCTTGGCCTCAACCTGCTACCAGATGCCACATACCCTGAGATGATCGCACCATACATCGACCCTGAGAAGCCGCATGCCCAGGAGGGTGAGCACAAGGAGATGATCCGGGTGTATTGGTACATGTTGGAGGCTATAGCAGGCATTCCAGTGATGGACCGCTTCGAGGTCAATTTGTTCCCCATCAAGGTACAATTAGAGCGAGAAGTTGGCAAGCGACTTTTTGAGTATATTTTCCCTGGTATCAATGGAGAAAAGTCGGCCGGCGCCAAGAATGACTCGCCGTTCATGCTGAAGCAGGTCACGGCTGATGGAGAGGAAGACGAGGACTATGAAGATAACAACGGTCTGACACCTTCGTACACACGACAATCATCCTCATCGTCTTTCTCAGCAGGCTCAGGTTCTCTCGAGCTTCGACTTAGACCTACTTTGACATCCAACACGAAGACTGAAGCGCCCCCTGGAAAGGCGTTGAGTGTCAATACGGGCAATGAAGGCCACTCTTTCCGCCTCTTCCGTGCTCCTGGAACTTCCAAGACTATGCTCAAGAAGGCATCTCATGAGTCACTCCGATCTAACATGGGCCCAAGAGTTGGGCTTGCACGTGCTTCCACAGGCCTTTCTTCTAGGGACGGTCGCGAGTCAAGGGATGGCGATAAGAAGTCACGCTTCGGATTGGGAAAGAAACATCACCATGAGAAGCAGCAGTCAGACGACCTTACTAAGATGATGACTCGTGCCAGCCAGTACATGACATTTTCGTCCATCAAAATGCCTTCTGTGGTACTTTGCCTTAGCTATCGTGGCAAAGACAACCGCAACATCGAGGATGTACACGACTTTGTCTTCAGAATGCCCAGCATTGAGTGGGAGAATAAGACATGGTCCAATCTGGATTTAGCCCTGGCTCTTAAGAAGGCGGTTATGAAAGCCTTGATCTCGCATACAGGTGCCCTCATTGGTAACAAATTTTCAAAACATCGACCCAACGCCGAACAGCGAGACAAGTTACGGGTACTGGCCAACAGCTCAGTCCTCATTGCGCCGTCCTCTTCGGGTGGATCTCAACACTACCCGGGCAGTCTGAACGACAGCGACGACTCGAGCCTATATGGCTCATCTCCTGTGGACTTCTCCCGATCACCTCCTAGAAGTATTCGGGCCGGAAGCACACACAGTAGTGTACGACCAGGATCTACTATGCGACGACGCAGCCGAAGCTCGAGTGTCAAGAGTCGAAGGTCACATCGTAACGGCGGCACAGGTCATGGCCCGCAAGCTCCCCATGGCCCCAATGTGCCAGCTTTCCTCATGATGACGCCGCCAACCCCCATTGATGATCATCACCGCAACGATAGGCATCATCACGGAATGGATCTTTTGCGGCCAGCTACTGCAAGTCCACAGAGCAGCATACACAGTATGAGTAACAGCATATATAGCCAGCAGGGCCAGACATTTGGAATAACACCAAGCAATTCCCATGCTAGCAGTGTAAACAGCGCCAGCACTCACAGCAGCATTCCCGTGCCTGTCACTCAACAGCACAGGCCCGGATTTAGAAGAATTCCGACGGGCATCGAACGACCTGCCTCAAGCATGAGCAATCACGATTCTGGGGTACGAAGGAAGAACGGCGCAAGCAACCTCAAAGACAAGCTCAGCGCTCTCACATCGCGTATTGGCAACAGAGAGAGTAGCAGCCCGTCACAGCAAGAGGATGATTCGGAGGCCGTTGACGACCAGTTGACACCCGCAGGACCTAAAAGCAGATCTAGGCGATCTTCAAGCCACACGGGGTCACGGCTCAGCTGGACTCCCGGCAGGATGAAAACGGGGTAAAAATAGGGAGATATCAAGTCGCTTATGAGTGGCAGTGATATGGGTGGCACAGTATATAGAATCTAGGCAAAAAAGGCGTATTGGGTAGGACTAGAGGTGGCATTTTCCATTCTTTTGCATATTTGATGTCCAACATGAAGGCGGAATATGGAGAACATACTATAGCATAGTGAGCGAATTGGATGAGCAAGCGTTGTTCTAGGAACAGGATAGGGATGAACCCTAGATCAGTCTTTATGGAAACGAGGGCGACCTCAGCAAAAGGCTGGCTGGCGGGAAGTTTTATATGTAATACAAAAGAATTGATACATCGTGTTCACTTATTATGGTTGATTTTGTGTGAAATTTTCAACTGTTTATTCATTGATCAAATTATATGACTTCCGTGGTATATGCCACCTCCAGTTTATCCAACCACCAAATGCTATGTCCGTCTCTGCGCCCGTTATAACCAGGCGATGTTGTAGACGTGATAAAGAACGCTCAACGTCAAGAAAATTGTATATGCATATGCAGAAGTAGATCTCTAGGATCCTTTATGATGAAGTTTTGTAGACAGTTGACCATCTACTGTCGTCGACCGAGGATGTTGAACAGACTTGTCCTGGGGTTCTCGACGGCACCGTCAAAGGTCCTTGCTCGGTTGGCTTCGCTCTCGGGAGTGTTGTACTTTGCAAAAGAGCGGTCGAACTTGGCTGATGTGGTGGCCAGTTGGGAGGCCACGTAGCTACCGACGAGAGCGAAGCTGCCGACAGCAACGACAACGGGGAGAGCCCTATAATAAATTGTTAGGATCAAATATTGGTGGAGATGAGCTGAGTTGCTGTCAGTTATGGGGACTTACTTGGGGTAAGCGGCAGGCTTAGCGAGGGCAGGTCTAGCGATGGCGGCCATTGTGTAAGTGGTATTGGTGTAAGTGAAGTTATAGACACTTTTTTTTTTTTTTTTTTTGAGATGATAGTGAGTTGAGAGAACAGGATAGAGCTGGACTGGATTGATGAGTGTGATGATGAGAAATCACTCCATTTTGACGAGTTGGACCAAGTCTCTTATACTAATTTACATTGTGGCCGCCTTTTTTTGCGCTGTTGATCATGAACCGTAGGATTCTCAATTGCCTATTGGGAGTCGGTCGATGGTGGTGTGATTGTAGGTGCTGGCCCCTGGGCTGTCTGACCTATTCGGGCGATTCCGGGGAACCAGGGCATTCCAGATTGGGAAATTTGGGGAATGAAGAGGATATGATCATTGTGAAACGTATTTTCTATCATGAGAAGAATAATATTGCATATTTTATTATTATTATTGTTCGGGGTAAATTCTGTGGTTTGCTGATGTTTTGATTGTTTATGTGGAGCACCAACAGCCCTGCATTCACTGCAACTTCTGCTCTGACTATACTATATACGATAATACGGTATAAGTATCTTGAAGTATATAAAATACAGACACTGAATATGGCAACTATGCCAATACGTCTATGCAATTCGGCTCTTGCCGGAATGAAGCCTTCAGCAACTGTCGACCTCTATCAACCCCTGGCCTCATGCTCCCTCTTCAGGCTCTAAACATCTGACCATGTCAAGGCGGGGTCCACCGAACACCAGCGGCAGCCAACACAAGGTGACAGCTTTTGGCTCAGCCTGGCCTTGTCTCCTGTCAGTGGCAAACCTGCTGAACCAGCTCAGTGGTGCCATACCCCAGATAACATCGAACAAGGACGAAAATGCGACGCCCAGTCCCGACGATGAGGAACCAACTTGGAACTTGGAAGCCTGATTCTGCTTGTCTCTGTGGACCTGTAATCCGCGGCATGTGATTTGTTGTTGACGGCTGCGCTGGTGTTTTGCTCAGAATTGACTTTGCCATATTTCGGGCCTCGTCAGATCATCTCTCATTCTTGGGAAATGATCTTCGGCGAAAGAAGTTCTTGCTGTTATACACGTTAGCCAGTATTACCTGGCTCACATTAGCGACGACAGCGAGGGATATCGCTCACGTTGCGATCATGGTTCTCATCTCGATCAACGCATGTACCTTCCACCCCTTATTGACCTTCATTCCTTGTGAGTCTTCTGATGAGCCTTGTGTTGGCGCTTGTGGTGGGCCTTGTCCTTGATACAATACCCAGCCGGTCTTGATGTGCAGTCTTGACCAACGTGGTAACAACATCATCTTCACTGTTGTAGGTGATCATCAGATCCTGCCTTTTCAAACTATAGCACACCGATGCATTCTCCTACCCTCAATGACCAAAGCAGGTATGTCGAGCTGCAACGATAACGTCCATCTTTCAACCCATGAAGCCCCATCGTTCTGGTCTTGGGATATCAGCCCGGACTATTTTTGTAGCTAGGTCGTACCAACGTGGGATGGCACCGAGCCCATTTCCCCAATAAGTCCACTCGCGCCAGAAATCCAGAACTGCTAGTCCAAGGAGAGTCCTCATGGCGAAATGCGCGTCGTTTCCCGGTTCGTGCAGCCGGCCTGCGTAGCGGATCCTCAGTCTGTTCATGACAACTGCCAGCGATGGTGCAATAGTGTTTTGAAGTGGAATGTACTGTGCTAGGGCCAGATCGATCCAGCAGATTGCGTCCACGAATATCTCGAATTCTCTTAAGAGGACCAGGTCGCCGTGAAGCGAGTATGCAACGCCGATCACATCTCTTCCTTTCTGCCACTCGACGAATCTGCGCTTCAGGTCCTCTGGGGTAATGGCCTCTGTGTCACCGAAACAGAAACGCTCCACTTTGGGCACGCGGTCTTGGACAGCAAACTGATAAGTCCGAATGAGATCTGATGGATTATCAAGTTTGAAGCCATTTTGGATGACGTCTCGGAGATCCCTGGTGTCCAGAATAGCCACACCCATATGGAACGACTTGGCCCCCTTCGGTCCCCGGGACGTGTTCCTGGCTTTGTCAGTGTCGATACAGATGAGCCTGACGTCTCTCATATTGCTGCCTCGGAGCCGGTATGGTAGCCTGTCTGCTATCTCTTTCTTCAAGCGTGGACTGAGCTGATAACCGAATACCATGCGAATCAGCTCAATTGCTCTGCGCCTCCTGAGCAACCTGAAATCCTGGGGCTTATCGTACAGCTCTCTTGAATAAGGTATTTCCAGTGACCATCCCACCATGTCAACCCATACCTTGTGTCTTTCTTTCGAGGTCATGCTAGATCGTCTAGCCTTGTACTTGGCGTATTCCTCTTCCAAGTTCGCGATCAGAAACCGTTTATCAAACTCCAGCATGTCCTGCTGCAGGTGCGTTTCCGATAATTCCTGTGCTTCTCTCTCTGGTTCTGGTCTCTTTCGTGGTGATTTGTCTTTTGAGAATCTCTCGAAGATCTCTTCTAGCTTTCGTGATCTTTCTCTCTGTGAAGCGTAATGGTTATCAACGACCCGTCTTGAAATACGGACCAAGGCGTCGTCTTTATGTATCGGGTCTCTTTCTGGTGCCCACTCTGATTTTGGGACAAACGTGAATCTTGTGGGTTGTGGTGGTTTCGCTTGAGACGACAGCTTTGGTTGTGGTGGTTTTGATGATGGTCTCACTGAATAGGGCCTTGTCGTGTAATTCTGAGTTAGCGATAGCATGCTCGGCAAGGCCCGCGGCCTCGCGTAGACCTCGAACATGAGTATTATGTCCTCAAATGTCGCGTCAATTTCCCACTAAATGATGATGGGCTGTGATTCGTTAGCCCGGGACAAAGACAAGACTGCTTCCGTTGGTGTTGAGTGAGTTTGATGAGAATCCAACAGCTTAGCACGTGACCCCGCCTGCAGCCAGCCTGAGGCTCAGAGGTAACCAGCTGTGCAGTGTTGGCATGAGTTCCATTATTGCCAAATCATTCTTCACAATGATCACAAATGTCTTGAAGCCACACAGAATGTCGATTGATGTCGCCTCGCGTGGTATCAGTAAATGTCATCGATACTAAGAAGCATGGTTCAATGGCGGATGATTGGCGACGGCGGATTGTAGTCAATGGCTACAAAAACGTAGGTGATAAGCTTAAACCGAGTCAAACCCAATTGGAAACCACTCACATCAACAGGAGAGGGATGGCAGCTGTTACAGACTAACAATGATAATCAATGCATTGTGGTTTGCTTGGTTGAAGCACATTACCTCACTAGCTATTACTATCAGACCCAACACGAACTGACTGTTCTTCTCATGAGAAACACCATTCCCCTCAGGCTTATAAGAAGTCTGCTGAAACTCTAGGCTTTTACAGGCAACGTTGCCGCCGTCACGCCAGACTTTTTATTAGATATTTATTTATTGGGGAACCCAGACCGAGGTAGAGTAAGGGGATCGGACCGACTCCAGATTTTTGCGCGAATGTTGGTGGGAGGTGGGTTGAAATTCTTTACAGTTCCACTATTGAGCTTACTTGAACCTGGTTGAGAATCATAAGATGGGGGAGCCTGGGTTGTTGATCAAGTGTTTTACTGAGTTGAAGAGTGAAACTGTGTTTATCATCCATGGCTACTACATCTTGAATGGGAGAATATAACCTTCAGCTCTCATTGGCTGGGTATGATCGCGTACCTGTTTACAGGGCCCCCTCTGCTGCAAGAAAGACTCTAAACGTCCCCCATGGGCAATTATTCAGCGCCCCAACCCAACCCCCAGTAGTCTATACAAACTATTACCATTGAATATCCACCAAACTCCGTGGCCCACGGCCCGAACAGGAACCCCAAGCACAAAAGTGACGTGTTGGTCACCAGGTTTAGCTCTCATCTTCGCCTCTAGCTAATTCTTCTCTGCATAAGCCATTGACCAATCGATCTGCTTGCCCCCACAATGTAAGGCAATCAATGTTCGTTCCATCTTTGAATTCTCTCTCTCTTGGATGGATCTGGAGACTGAAACTCTCTCCATCAACAACACAAAACTGCAACCATGAAATATCTGGGGAATCGTCAATAACACCCCCGGACATCGAGAGACAGAGAGAAAGAGTCTAACTCTCAGCCATGGTCTCACTCGCTTACGACCTTGGAAAACCGCGAAATTCGACATGAGACTGCACTGGTGGAATTCAACACCATCCACCAGCACGAATTCAAAGATGGGCCCTTCCAGTGAAGCTATCCCCATCCCCACTGATGCACGCCCCATTCCTCTGCCAGAGCTACCAGAGTTCGCGACAGGTTCGCCCAGGAGTAGCGAGCCCGAGCTGGAATCTCTACCAAACGACCTCACCAATTCGCTATGGCTACCGCATTCTCATGCCTCCGATTCAACAACGAGGCGAGTCTATCGCGGTTTCGCGGAAGAGAAAGAAGCTACCTTCTTTTCATGCTGTCGACAGTACCCAAAGGCAGTGGGATGGTCTTTATTGCTCTTCCTGACTGTGGTCATGGAGTAGGTCCTGAAATCATATCATATCAGACTGCATAGCTAAACAAACATTCGCAGAGCCTATGACAAGTCACTTGTAACTGGTCTCTTTGCTTTTCCTGCATTCAGAGAGAAATATGGAGAGCCAATTCTGCCAAAGGATACACCAGCTGAAGATCAGATGTATGAGATCTCGCCGTCATGGCAGATGGGGCTGCAGAACGCCGCAATTGCATGTGAAATCATCGGACTTTTGGCACACGGTTACATCACAGATCTCATTGGATACCGAAAGATGATGCTTGCCAGTTTGTTCTGGATGTGCATCGCTGTGTTTCCTGCATTCTTTGCCGACAGTATCGGCGTCCTATTAACATCACAAGCTCTATCTGGTATGTTTATACACCAACATTCATACGAAAATAACTGACCGTATCCTCAGGGCTATCATGGGGTGTCATCGAAATTCTTGCTGCAACCTATTCAGCTGAAGTCGTGCCAAATGCTTTGAGACCGTTTGTTCTCAGCAGCATCAACATGTGCTGGCTGGTTGGACAAGTCATCGGCACCGGAATCCTCCGGTCTCTCGTTCATGAGACCTCTCAATGGTCTTATCGACTTCCTTTTGCGCTTCAATGGGCGTGGGCGATACCGTTGTTGTTCGGCGTGTGGTTCGCGCCCGACAGCCCTTGTAAGAGAACTCACTCTGCTAACCACAACGCAACTAACATGGCAAACAGGGTGGCTTATACGCCATGAACGAACAGATGAGGCGAGAAAATCTCTGACTCGTCTGACTAATAAGAACAGTACCGATATAGAGGATACTATCTCACTAATGAAGCACACCAACAAGATGGAAAAGGACTCCAACTACGGAGGAGCCAGCTATCGAGATCTCTTCAGAGGAGTCAATCGCCGAAGGACAGAGATTTCATGTATCGCCTGGGTCTGCCAAGCATTCAGCGGCTGGTCACTCACATCTTATGCACCTTATTTCTTCGAACAGGCTGGTTTCAGCGCCTCTATATCCTTCAACCTCTCAACCGCCTGCTACGGTGTCGGCATCATCGGCGGTATCATTGCCTGGATCCTGCTCCCCTTCGTGGGTCGTCGGAAACTATACATATACGGATTGCTCGCTCCCATCTGCTTGTTGACCGCTGGCGGCGTGGTATGGGTGGTGCTGAGCGATCGCACTGGTGCGAACTGGACCTTGGGCGGTTTGATCATCGCCATGACTTTTATTTACGACATGACCATCGGCCCCGTTTGTTACATCGTGGTTGCCGAAATACCTTCTACCCGACTGCGAGTCAAAACCGTCGCTCTCGCACGAGTTACATATAACCTCTGTTTAATATTCAACAACATCATCATGCCCAAGATGCTCAACCCATCTGCTTGGAACATTGGCGGCGCTTCATGTTTCCTCTATGCAGGAACGAGCTTTTTCTGTCTGATATGGTGTTATATCAGATTACCCGAGACGAGAAACTTGACGTACCTCGAATTGGATATCCTATTTGAGAGAAAAGCACCAACGCCAAAGTTCAAAGAGCTTCAGGATAGGCTTGAGGATAGTGCGTATCTATCCATGACGAGGGCGGAGCGATTGACAAACTGGCATGGCTGGTTAGCATATTCATAATAATGATTTTAATGATATTCATTTGGCGTTCACGGTGGTTCAACTACGTGATTTGTTCAGTCAAGTTATCACGACGTATTGCACGAGGCTCCCTAGTTTTCCGACACCAAGAACACAATTCCTAAAGCCATTCTTCAACTTTGGAGGCTCCTGATAACGTCTCCATAGCATATGCTGCGGTTATTCGTTGACCCCTTACTGGGTTTGCTTGCTTAGGACAGCCCATTTCAGGGGCTTGGACATTTGACGGAGCGAACATACGACACTGCGCATTCATTTCAGATCACAAACAACCACCAATTCACTGCATCAACATACCTTGGCAGTATGTAAAATATAACCTCATGCCCCATCTCTCTACTACCCGTCGTTAATCAGGGCTTGGACCTTGTATGAGATTCGGTCAGGCCTCCTAAAGAGAACTGTGTAAAGTCAACTTGATCCCACCAGATAACTTATTGTAAATGACTCTTACTATACTCGAGTCTAATCGTACGTTAATCACAGCCTTCAGATCCTATTGCACAGGGTCATGTCACGTAATCAGTATGTGCGCCATGATCTTGGGCACAGATGTCAGGCCTTGATTGCCTGTTGTTGGTCGCTGTCACGATTTTCAAATTTCTTTGTCCTACCTGTATCAATCACACATTCGTCTCTTTCCTTAAGCTTGTTGACGACATGTAGCGTACATCTATGGCGGTGATGATATGATACTAATGTGATCACTACAGAATGAAAGATCCTTATGATTTGGGGCGTATTTATGCTCGCCATCATGAGAATCTTTAATAAAACGAACTATACTGCCAAATTGACTCGATTGTCAACATTTCAAGATTCATTTCGATTCAGTCTTGACGAGTGTAGTCTCGTCAGGTTCTGAAGCACCATCCATCAGAGACAAGGGTCCAATTCCACCCCCCGATATCAATATTTGCTTATATATTACTTAGGCTGTATCATCATAAGCTTCAATTTGAACGCAACTTGCCCAGGGATGTAGGATGAAAAAAGCCTACATAGTTCCCCAGCTCAAATTCGATGTCACCGAATAGTCGGCATATTTATTGATGAGTGGCCTTACTAGGAACTCTTACTAGAATGATGTCGAGGTCTTTCGACAATCAAGCTTGATCAACTTGGACTCTGAGTGTTCATTTTATGTCAGATAATACGGCAAACACTCGCAATATGCAAAATTTGAATTGATACAAGCCATATCAAGTTCAGCTTATTACTATCCCCAACTCAACAGAAATGGTCCTCAACTTTCTCGTGCTTCTTTGACATCTCTTTAGGTATGAGTGAGTACGACAATCTCAATGTATGTTTCTGCAGACAGACAGCAACTTGGGCTACAAACTGCTGTATGGAGACATGCTTTTGATCTGACCACAGTCTCACATTATAACTTGAGGAACCATTTGTCCCGGAACATGGCTCCTTCGTCCTTTGAAGATAACCCATACAGTCAGCACCAGCAGGTGTTGTTGTAGCTACTGACTTTCGGTTCACCGTCTTCCATCTTATCTCATCGCCTCGGCACGACCTTGGCCCTTACCATGTAGTAAACATACTCGTTCAAACGAAGGAATGATCTGTAAGGTTATTGTTTATACGGATAGTACTGCACCCACATCAAATCCCACATATTATCATATCAGCACCAAGTGTCAAGCGATGGATCGCACTCACATACTGCGCACAGCGAATATCACTATCATTCACCTGCCTATAACTCCTCTAACTCCTCTATAGTAAAGAAAGGATAGTCAGAGTATTTCGTATCTTTAGGCACTTATGTGAGGGCGTCTATCGTAGGACCTTTTGCCCTTGTAACAGAAAGTCTTGCCTCCTTCTCGTCGTGGCTAGTCCCCCGACTATCATGCCAAGCATCCTGCACAAGAGCACATGCTCGCGGTTTCATATCCAGTATACTCCCTAAACTCGTAGATTAGTACATATGTCCAGCATAAACAGGTTATCACTTCGGCCTCTCGTAGTCTTGGATGAGCTAACCCTGTCCATCGGCATCAGGGCTCATCAGGGCTCACCATGCCCTATCGTCGTCAGCTCGGTGAGCATATCCAAATGATAAACACAACCCTCCCCACAGAATAGCAATCAATACACCGCCTGGTCAAATGGCTTTATATCCTCTGCAGTCACGAGATAGTAAACAACATGTTGTAATGAGCGGTCTAGAACATTTTTCCCTCCTGGGCATAGGAGATTTGTCTCCGTTACACACCCCTTGGGGCCCTGGAGGCATTATGGAGCCAGCTAAGCTACTGCACAACAAAGTACAGTGCAGCAAAGAGAACCCTGTTGAAAATCTTGCCGTTTTGGCGTTATTTCCCTTATCGCAAGCGGGGAGTTTGTCCATTTTGCCCGTGGTCAAAACATCGACAATTAAAGCGCTTGTATGGAGTAGCCCTGCCCTTTACCAACCCCTGACTAGCGTCTGACTCAATCCATTGTTGCGGCTTTTACCCCCACAACAAGAAGGAAAGGGTCTTCTAGAAGTTCTTTTGTTCTTTGTCCCGCATCTGAGGAACTCCTGTCACTGTTGCTGGCATCATCGCTCCAGTTTTGCCCGGATGAGAAGCATAAAGAGAAGGTCCATAACGAAGCACATAAACTGAGGGAGTGAAATAAGCTTGACAGCCGAGATTGCCAGCAATCCCTTGTCATGAGATCCAGTAACCGTTGACCACGCAATCTCAACAATCGGTGACTGAGACAACAGCGTCAACGTGCAGGTAAGTAGTCTGTCCAGCGCAATGTTAATTTTTTTTTATGAGGTGGTTGGTTGGGCATTCGTGCATTGCCCAGCCCAAATGTCGCTTTGCCGCTTTTGGCGCAGGTAATGAGGTCCACGAATTGAATAATTACCAAACAAGTAATAATAAAAAAATTAGAAAAATGTCGGGTTAGAAATAGCCGAAGGGTCCAATGTAAGAGGGTATTCGCAGTGGGTTGTGGAACACGAAAAATAATAGTAATATCTTGATCAAAATATGTAAATGTTAACAAATGGATATCCAAGTAAATACACCGCTCAATGTCTTCCTTGACATGCCATGCCGCTTGCGCCTATGCCTCTCCTCGTCTCAAAGACGGTTGCTTGTGAATGTGATATGTATGTACTGGTGACAGTCCTGCGTAAGAAAAAAGATATGATCTCCTGATTCGCCAGACTCAATGCTCTGTTCCTGCGGTCCTAACAAATGCCAACTCCTCTCAACAAATGCGATGACTCGCTCTCTATCCGAGTCTTCTCCGACCACGTCCCAAGGTTCTCCATAAGCCCGGCCTTGAGCGGGATTTTGTTCAGTTGCATCCGATCCCGCTTGGGCGGGGGTCAAATGCCGAAAGGGCCTGTTTGAAAATGAAATATGAGAAATTTTGGTCAATGTACAAGAAACAAATAAGTTCCTGGCAATCCTGTGATTGTGCGCTTTTCTCCACCTCGCGGTGATAAGAAAGGGGAATAAGTAAATAAAATAACGTGTAATAACGGGAAACTCCTGAAAATGCCACTCGCTTTCTAGAATGATCAAGTATTCCCATGTCTAATGGAAATTGTGATTGGTTGTCAGGGTGTGGTTGGCCGATGCCCTCATGGTGTAATAACCTTGACTGCCGAGGCCCAAAATGTTTCGGGTTCGTGTTCGGTGGCCAATCCCCTTGAGTGTTGGTAATTTCGACCCGGTTTTCCCGAGTCAGAACCAGGTCAATCGCTTTGCTCTGGTTCCGTCAAAAGTCGTGTTGCACTTTCTCCGGGGCCTATCGTCGGGTGGTGGGACCATCGCTCGTGGGCATGCTTCCAAAACCCTTCCATTGAGATGGGGGGCAAAAAATTTGCATCATCGCATCCAATGGCATGGTTAAACGTCAGAAACTCCATAATGAGTCCACGAAGTGGGTCCCAAATCGGCTGCACTTCCGTGGGTTGTCCTGCCTGAACCGGCCTCGTTGCAATGCAAAGAAACCATGGCCAGGTACATGACGTGTTGCATGTCGTAAATCGAGAAATTCAAGGCTTTTGATTTGTGGTGTCGATTCTGGGTACGGCACAGCGATGGAAACCTAAGCTGTGATAGGAATCCAGCGAGCCGGGACACCGTTTACTCCCATCTCGTAGGGCTTCGTTGAGGTTTGTCGTGGAGGAAGTGCGAAACGAGCTCGGCCCGGTCGCTGGTCGTCGAGCTTTCCGCGCTTGCGCATCGCCATTTCCATGACAGCGATACGGATGAAGTCGGAGTTCTCACGCATTTCCCGCTGTCGCATGCCTGGGACAGATTGAGTGGGGACCTGCGGCTGTGGCTGCTGAGGGACAGGGGCTGGCTGCGACTGGAGCGATGTTGATGGATAAGAGTTTCGGGTAGAACCCGGGGCTGTTCGGGAGCGCTGGATCTTGTAAGTTCGCATCTGAATTGATGCAGCAAAAGTTCCGGCGAAAACGGTCTTGGTTGGCGGTTCGATTCTTGCGTTGGTGGTAGGATTGAGATAACGGCGAACTGCTGCGGAAGGCATTTCCTCAGAAACGGGTGGCCGACGCTCATCAGCATAGGGAACATTGGGGTCGATGGTGAGAATAGATCGAGTTAAGTAATCATCCGGTGGGATAGAAGGAAGGTTCAGAACCGAGAACGATCGGGCCGCTGATCGAAGGGCTCGGAGTGAAGCGGTGAGATTTGACTTGAAAACAGACCTCAAGGGCTTAAAGGGCTCCAGGAACTGAGACTTGGGCTGAGCCTCCTCAGGCTGGTTGAGAGTGCTGAAGTCCAGCTCATCGACATCAACATCTTCTCGGGCCAGTGGATGTTCATCAACGGAACCAGGTGGAGAGATAACAGGCTCCAGCGACTTTCGCATAGGAGTCAAATTAGTCCTGCGAGAGCATGGACTAGGTGTCCTTGGGCTTCCGAGAGATGAGAGGCACTCGCTAGAGAATGACTCGTCCAGAGATGGAATGGAATCGATGGAATAAGTTCTTGTTGACATACTGGAGCCAATGTTGCAATCGCTCACACTATCATCATCGTCGGCAACTTCCTGAGGTGGGGATAGAAGCATGTCCAGAGGGCTACCGAATGTCCAGCTCAGTTCCTTTTCTGAAGCATGCTGACAGTCAATAACCTCCTGCACAGTTAGGGTCTTCTCGGAACGGCGGCGGCGCCTTTGAAGCTGCTTATGTCGAGGAATATCTGTAACGGCCAAGAGTGCAACGAGAGACGGTGAAAGCTTATCCGAAGATCGTGAGTCACTGCTTCGTTTCCTCTGTGACGAGTGACGCTTTTGAGGATGGGCGCCATATCGGTTGTTGGTGGTAGGAATCTTGACCGGGCTTGTAGGTGTCGTTGACCTCGTCGTCAGACTAACTGTTGTTTTTGGTGGGCTCGAAGGGGCAAGACTTGAGGTCTCCCGCCAATCCTTGCGTTTAACCATTGTTGCATTGGAGTTCGGTTGAGCTGGAGATTTGGTGACTGTAATGTGCTTGTTGCTATCGTCATACTTTGGCGACCAGCGCGGAAGTGAGAATGTAGTCGACTTGGAGGTCGCTGCCGTTGAAGTCGCCAATTTGGAGTTGTATGTTGGTGATGGCTGATATGGATAATGTACACTGTTTGTTGGTGTTGATATTTGGTGATGAGGAGAGGAAGTATCTAAGAGAAGAGAAGAAGATAAAGGTGAGGGTGAGGAGGAGAATAAACGTGTGGGAATGGGAGTGAAGGCAGGAGATAAAGAGGGAGTCGGAATAGACAAAGTATTATGATGACTAGCACCGGTAGTACAAGGGGAAGGAGGGCGCTGATGGTGGCTCTCCCTCTCACGCTGCGCCAGCATGAAAGAGCGTGGAGTCATCATCCTGCCTGTAGTGGCCACCCCCCAGTCCGAATTCCGGGATCCAAGACAGGGCAAGTGCGACACGACAGGGTGAGACTTGGGGTCGGTACCTTTGATCCTGCCTTCGGGGCTAAGAGCCAGGGGGGGTTTGGTGTGTTGGCAGGAGTGGACAGTGGGAATTGGACAGTGGCAGGCGGGCAGGCGCTGCAATCAATCTGGCAACAGCGGAGCGGAGTGGGTCTTGTCGGTGGCTCTTCTGAGGGGAGGAAAGAAAACTCAGGACTTTGATCCTAAGTGACAACAAATACTTAGGTAACTTAGCATAAGTCTAGGATACCTTCTGATGGCTTTATTTTGACAACCTCGGTCAAGATCTGATGCTTTCTTGTTCGTCCAGGGCTCTCTAGGGGTTTTGGCAGGAGCCAGAAGGTCCTCACCTCGTCAGAATGCCCTGTGGGCCTTGCTGCAGCGGCAGTCAACTCCCACGCCTCAGCTTTTTGCGGACGGAACAGATTTGAAAGGTTTCCCGAACTTCTTTTTTTGTCTGCTGGGTCCTGGATTGCTTTGTCACAGGTCTCACCTCGCTTATTTTTCTTTCTTTTTCTCCAATTGAGGCCCTCCCTCGTTTGTCGATCAGTCCCCTGATCTTGATTGATTGACCTGACTTTTAATGATGTTTCCTCCCTAAAAGGACCCTTTTTCTCGGAACAAACTGTGTAACCCTGCCTAGGCTGAACAAGCTTCGATTCCAGGCCCAGCCAGTGTCGGATATGAGATCCGCACCGCGAAACCGGAGCGCCAGAAGTGAAGCAAAGCAAAGCAAGGCAAGGAAGACCAGTCCGGGGATGACCGCGTGTCCGTCTTGTCCCCAGCGAACTGTGTACACAGTAACGAGCAGTTTCAGTAACGTAAACACGAAGCTCAGGATTGGTTCGTCGATCAAGGGTGACGCTTGCGAATTCGTTAGAGCCCTAGAGCTCAGGTGAAGAACGAATCACGTCTTTGATAGCCAAGTGGCTCTCGAATCGAAGTTTGTTGAAAGAACGAGCCGTTTGGATTACGCTACCGCGGACAACGGGTCGTGTCGTGCCTTGCAGCGCTGAAAGGGTTTTGTTGCTGTCGTGTAATGCTCGTGTGTCTTCATCCAGATGCCGCAGGGGTCTGTTATTGACAAATCAGATTAGACAAGGTTGCTGATCTTAGGGCCGCGGAGAAGCTTGCTTGTTGTCCATATCGGCTTCCAATATTGTTTCAATAACACAGAACTGCCGTCCAGGCACAAGAAACACAAAGTTGTTGTTCGCAAAAGATATGATCCTCTCGTCCTCTGGTGAGCGACAACGACAGCAATGAAAGTATTTATTCAACACCGATGTATGGCCACGAGGCCACGGGAGGGGCGTGTCCAGACTGGAATAACGGGACCTTGGGCAGGGCAGCGCGCCAAGCAATTGTCTGAGATTGAGCTCGACAGTTCAAAACCAAACCACAAATATTGGTCAAACTGGCGAGTCACAAGGAAGCTTGTGTTTCGGGGTCCAAGGTCCGCTCGAAGCGCCAACGAAGAGCACAGCCCTTGTAACAGTCAGTAACCGTGCCAAAGCCTCGCTCACGCTTCTATCGGCCACACGGAAGGAAAATGGGTGAGAATTGGTCAGGCTCGTTGTTCAGTCGAGCAATATCAATATCGCATGCAAGGATCTCAAAGGGATTTGATGAGCTGCACAATTTATCAATGTGACAGTGGACTGACCAGACCTTTTGAAAGGACAGGACAAATAGAGAGGAGCCAGCTGGCGCAACAGATAACGAGCCGTTTGGATGTGTTCCACTCAGAACCCAGCAACTTCAACCGCCTATGATATGATAGATACGTGCCAGTATCTGGAACACAACTGATGGGCGAGATACGAAGACTATTTGAATCTAGCTGCCTACGATTCCTACTAAAGGTGGCAGGTACTTGTTGATTCCTAGTGCAAGTTGGGGGTCACGTTTCGGAACTTTATCGCGTGCCCGAGCTGATAAGACACCTCACCCAGCATCCAGCCACCAGTGAGAACTGCGATAGCAATCTATCATGCTCTGTCCGATCGGAACGGTCGGTGTTGCAGACGGAACGCAATAATATTCATATGGTTTCAATATGATCATCCCCACGACTTCTGATGCTACGACTCACTCGTCCGGCACTTGAAGAGCCCTCAACGTGGCGATCCACGAGTCAGTGGAGAGAAGAGAGGTCTTCAGCGACTATTCCGGGCCTCGTCCGAGAAGCACCACCGGAGCCTCGGGGCGGGAATCTCTTATCTATACTTTCCCATCCCTTGTGTTCCCGCGTGATTCCCATCCGTGTCCGGCAGTTGCACTATCAATCAAGCCCAGCTTGTTATCACCTCCCGGAACCAGCCATTCCTGATACTTTTCGTTTGTTGCATTGTTGTGAGCACGTGTACAAAACGGCATTCTTACGGTTGACTTTTTGTGGGATGAACATCACGCTGTACAAGAAACAAAAGTCAGGGGGCCTCAAAGCCCTCCTGCTGCCATTGTCTGCAGGGTCTTGGATGCACGAATGACGACCATTTGTGCAAGACATTGATTCGCTTTCTTGAGTGACGCCATGCCTTTGGTGCTGATGGGTCAGCTCTCCCCTTTTGAGTCTGGCCAGTCTACTCCCCGCGATGGAATTCCATTGTTCTGCAGATGGTGGGAGGGTGAAGATTAGTGGTGACGCACAGTAACATAAACACAACCCCAACCCTTCTCTTAAGCTCAGTGCTCAACCAGAGAAGAGTCCATTGTTGATCGCCAGGTGTTCATTCCTACAGGGCATAGAGCACCGCACTCCTGTTTTTCGCGCCGCTGATCGGAGTCCTCTCCCTGCGCGTTCTTGGTGTAATCAGTGTTCCGAAAATTGTTTATCTTTTTTTCCTTGGTTCCCGCTCCCGTTTCCTCTGGCATTGATCGCCGTGACATCACTGGCAACCTCTTCTCTATCTTGCCCCAACCGAGTCACGAGAACAGGATTGAGCTGTCACCAGCTGAAGTGGTTCTCGACTCGTTTTGGTGATGGGCCGAAACTCTAGTACCCCCCCTCCCAGAGCTTCCCTCGTGCTCTCAGTCCCATCTCAGTTCGCTGGGTGTCTTTCTTATCGCTGTCTCCCTATTCGTGCTTGGATTTTGACCCTGCGCCCCATCATCCACTGGCTTGCCAAAAACGCGGGGTCTGTTCCCCCACACTCTGCAGGGTCTGAGAGACAAATTATTGCTGTTGGTAATTTTGTTCATTCGAATGTGAATCTGGGGTTGCGCTGACTTGTTATCTATCTTTGTTGGTCATCTTTGCCGTGCTGCAGAGTTGTGGGGTATCGCAGGTTCGTGTGCCAGCTACTGCGACAGTCCTGTCTGGCAATCTAGAAGTTAATTATTGATGATGCTCAGATCGAGATTTCAGCCATGAAACTCAAACCGCTGAGCTTCTTCGCATTTGCTCCTGGATAGGCAATTCAGCCAGCCCAGGGTGCCGTGTTGAGGCTGGCCTGTCTTACTGTGTTATTCAAAGCTCGCGTACTGGTCCACGCAACTCGTGAGCAGCCTAAACTCACCAGACTAAAATCTAAATAGATCGTTCGGATGCCTAGCTAAGGCTCCCGCGAAGCCCATGTTTCACACGGCCGTTGTCAGTTTTCGTCACGGGACCAGTTACGAGATGACCCTTTAGCGACCTGTCAGGTTTGGGATTGGGCTGTGCAGCGTCCGCCGCTCCTCTCTTCGCTCTGGCCTTTCCTCTAATGTCCTCCTATGCCCTCTCCTGTCCTGCCGGTGATCTGCAGTCCGCTCACTGGCTAATGCCCGCCAGCTTCCGTGCCTCACCCCAACCTGCGATATTCCGCGCCAGATCGCCAATAATTTTGGTGTTTATTTCGTCAAACGAATACGTACTCCGTACTTTCACTAGTTTGTTGGGTTACCGCTTGCAGTTCGGCGTGCATTTAGTGTGCTGCCCAGTCCACTGTTAGCCGCTGCTTCATGACGATGGCCAAGCGACATCACTCAGAAGACAAAAGAGAAAAGAAGAACGAGATTGAGTGACTTGATCGGGCCTCATCTGCGATCGAGGTGCATAAGACATCGAGTGCTGAAAACAAAAGTGCCATGCTGAAAGGAAATTCTGATCTCTATGGGACAGTCAAACAGCACCAAGACAACACCCGAGACATCCTTATCAGCACGTTTCGATCAAACATTACGGTCGACATCAAATCATGGATGCATTGGATGTGAGGCCCGTTATTATTGACCTATGATGCTTCACTCAGATTGTCCTGGTGAGCGAGTTATTCTAGGAAAGCCCGCGGCATTATCGCATGCATCCATATTCAAGAATCCACAACGCATTACGATGATTGAAATCCCATAATCTAGGCTCTTCTCTCGAAGTCTGCATAACTTTTAAGGTTACTCAAATCCATCTTTCGTCTCGAACTCAAGTCAAACCAATTGAGAAATAAACAAACAAAAGAGCGATATCGCCAATATTGGTGAGCTGTCGGCAGTACCGTGCGTGTCACCAAAATCAAGCTGCTCGCCAAGCTATC